TGAGCCGATCTTGGTATTCGGATCTTCTCCCGCAGCCACGAGTCAAGCAGTTTGGTGGCTCAGGGATTTGTTACGTCCTGTGTGCCGTCTACTTTCCACCTGTTGAATCGATGACTGACGTTCCATTCTCAGATACCTCTTGCGAACGATTTTCGTCCTTACTTTACCATTCATGACAAGGATCACGCCCTTCTGGTCAATAAACTCCCACCTAAATCTGGCCTTATCTTGGGTGTGACCAATCCATTCTTCCAGAAGTCATGCGCCCATTGGCCTCACCTCTTGAGTGTAGGGCTGAAAGCAAGGTGTGTCTGAGGTTGCTTGGGTTCTCAATTCTCATCACTCAAATTTACTGCAGTCCGCGCCGCCAGGGGAATGCGACCATTATAGCTGGGCCGCCACCTGGATGGTGTACAAGAACTCATCGCCGATACATTTCCAAAGACCGCCAATTGTTAGCGGCTATCGAGCAAGCTTGTCATGCAAGCGTCCAACACAGTCCGTGTCCCAAATTATGACTAGTGCTGTAACTTACTCATCATTCTCAGGGATACAAGCATCTTTGGATCTAAGAAGACACTTGAGTTCGCGCACCAACACCGTGTTAGTTCCTTTGAACAGATACCTCAATACTCTGATACCCTCTCCGACGGAACGCGCCACTGTTTCGGGTTGTCGACGCCTAAAGTCCTTTAGCACTGCTGACTTTTTCTCTTCGCTGAAGGCGAATGGCTCCCCTCTGCCGTTTAAGTCCGCGACTAAGCGGAGAGAATTTTATGAAAGGTGGCTGAAAACGCCAGCATTTGGGCTGTGGTTGGCTCAGCAAGAGGAAGTGGTGCATAGGACATTGCAGGACAAATGGGCTGGCTGATGTGGCGATTGATTCCCGCCGAGCCAGTAACCGTAAGATTCTAGACTAGCTTAAATCCACATGTTCTGTGAAATGATCGTCATCAATCTTCAAGTCAGCGGCACGACGAGAAGGTTAGGCGCCGACTGCGCCACGTACAGCAAATAGAACCAAACAAATGTTACTGCTATAGAACATGACGGATTTGGTGAAGTCCCCGAACATTCTCTTGCTTTTACTCTTCCACGTCGTTGTCGCGCAACTTGTACGCTCTCCTTGCGTTCCACTGGTTTTTTCTCTGTTCTTATTGTGCTTTGCTCTACGTCTTGTATTTCGCCTATCTGTTGGGCGCGTAATCATTGTCACTGTATCCTTACTTATCATGTAAGAGCTCCTCCACTTGTTTGTATAGCTGACGTGGGTAGCGCGGGCAGGCGGCTTCATGATGCGCCGTGTGGAAGTTTTGCCTTGTTATCATTTGTGTTACTCTCATGTCCGTTGGTACTCAAATCCTGTTATTTTACTTTTTTCTAGTGCAAAAGACTTTCTGTTCTTCTGCTTGAGTCAGCGAAAAAATGCCTGAGGAAGATTATGATATCTACGGCGAATACGAAGCTTATGCTGTCGGCAGAGCCAACCAGGTGGGCACATAATATGCGTCTACTTGGTTGAGCAGCTAGTTGGACTGACTGTATGCGCGCTTAAAGGGTATTGATGGACAGGAATTCGATGCAAGGGAAGAACCAGTGGAGGCTATAACGACTGTAGTCGAACCCTCGACAGGTGAGAAACGGCCTCGAAGCGATGAGGAGGAGGAAGAGGCAGAAGCAAAATTGTCACCCGTTCAACATTCGCCTCCAGCTCCTCACGTCCAGCCAATCCAACAAGGGCAGGTTAGGACTGAAGGTGGCTCGCATGGCATGAACGGTAACTACAATGCCGTTATGCAAAACGGTAGTCATATGGGAGGCGGGACAGATCCGTCGATGATGGGCTATGATGCACTGTATATTGGCGATTTGCAATGGGTCCGTTTGTCCTGTCGTTTAGAATCCTGTGTACATCTTTCTAAGCCTGTCTTCGTGTTTCTCTCTCCTACAGTGGACAACGGATGAGGACCTGCGTCAAGTCGCTCTTAATCTCGGCGTGTCAATCGATCACCGTGACATTACCTTTTCTGAGCACAAGGTGAACGGCAAGAGTAAAGGGTGAGCAACTTCCTGGCCAAATTGAGGTGTTGCTCAGTCACATCAGCATCGCCTACGTGGAGTTCAGTAGTTTCGAAAACGCCAACGCGATCAAAACATGGTTCGATAATAAGTATGTCAGGCTTGATGCTTCGATGCGAATGCAAGGCTGACCTTGCACTCAGCGACTTTCAAAATAGACGTGCTACAGCAACTCTGACAAGTTCGTCACAAGGCAATCCATTCCGCACACTCCCAAAAGGTCTGGTGATCACCTGGTGCTTTTGACTGCAGCTTTGTCTAATCCATATGGCTTCAGAACCACCGCCTCGAGACACCCGAAACACTCAGCAAGGAAACTCTATATCCACATCAGGGACAAGCATGGGCCGCGGCTCGACAGGGAACTTCCGCGGTAATGCTTCCAACCAGATTGGGGGAGGCATGATGGGTGCACAAGGTCGCGGGGGTGGTGGTATGACGAACAACATGATGCGCGGTGGCATGCCCGCAATGATGGGTAACATGGGCATGGGCATAGGCGGCATGAACATGATGGGAATGGGGAACATGGGAATGGGCATGGGTATGGGTGGCTTCGGCGGACGCGGCAGCATGGTTCCCCAGGGACCCAGAGGAGGTGGTATGATGGTAGGCGGGCGTGGTGGCATGGGAGGAATGGGTATGGGCTTCTAACGGTCTCATGCATGTGGATTGTTGTTCTTACTTGCACTTGATGTACGCTATAGGTATGGGAATGGTTGGAGGACGCGGCGGCTTCGGCATGCAAGGTCACTTCAACCCAGCGTTCATGCATGGCCAGCAAGGTGGTCAGTTTGGTGGCGGTTCAGACAGGAAGCGATTCCGAGCGGACGACAATTGATAATACATCAAGCCATCCGTAATTCGCAACACCCGTGGATCGACGTATCTATTTATTTATTTATTTCTATCCTCCACTCCTTCATATCATGCGCTCAGCGTTTTAACTTGTTGATATTTACTTTCCCCTTGTCACTGTTGACATCGCTGATGTACAATAACCTATCATTGTAATATTGATACGTGCATCATTCATTCTCTCCGTCGCGCGTTGGTTGGTGGCAAGCAAGGGAATATTGCATTGCACAAAGAAGCATGAGCACGACTCGAGTGACTGCAAATACATGGTGTAACATATAGACAAGATTGCGCTGGCTGATAGAACATGAGTGATGGTGATGTGTGTGGTATGAGTATATCCTATCTAAAGCACCAAAAAAGACATCAGGATAGGTTCCACTATCCATGAGGGTATGAAATGTCCGTGAAATATAGCATGCCAATGTCAAAAAAACTCCTTGCCTTATCCCCGCCTCTCCTTCATTTCCCTTTCCTTCTTCTTGCGGCGTTTTTCTTCCTCGTGGCGCTTTTCCTGCTCAAGGGCTGCTTCATCCTCTTTTCGGGCAAGACGCGCACTGAAGGTCTCTTTGTCAACAGTGTGATTCTGGATGGAGGCGAAATCACTGACCTTCTGAGCTCCTCCCTCTCAAGAACGCCGGCACCAACTTCCATGTCCTCATCATCACTATACACATCCTGCTCGACATATTTAGAGCGGTCCTTGCCAAATAATTTCCAAATTTCGTTGCTGTAAGATTCCACATCAGCTGAGGCAGGGCGCCTCTTCGGAGGAGGGGGGGATAACGAGGAGGACGGGGACCGAGGTCGTTTTTTAACGGGCCCGGCAGAGCGTGCTACTGATGAAGGCTTATGAGCCTGCAACTTCATCGAAGGAATGAAGTTTGAAGTCGACTTGGGTTTCACCTCAGTCTTTAATGATTGAGGACTATCTGCGCCTTTGGGTTGCGCGGTCTTTGAAAATGACAAGATAGCAGACTTCGGAGCAGCCGAGGTCTTGGACGTGCCGGAGTTGACTGATCCTATAAAGTTGAAGATGAAATAATGAGAAAGGATTCTGCTATCAAAACACTTACTGGACCCTGAGGGGCTTGGGGAGCTGGAGCCGGAAGACGCTCTAGATGGTGCAGCCGTAGATACCTGGGCACTGATCCTTCCTGTGTCCTTCTTCCCCTTGCCAAACCAGTCATTAAACTCTTTGGCATCGTCACCGTCCAATGTGGCAGTTTTCGCCTTGGCTCTGTCCTGCAAAATCTCGTCTATGGTCCGCGTGTCTCGCTTGTGGACATTAAGTTTGGTTAAAGTATTCGGGAGTGCAGAAAGGCGAGCCTTGACGGACTGTGAGCTGTTACAACCGTCTGAGGTTGGTGCTGACGTGGCGTCGATAGCCCCTCCCGGAAGTCGCTTGCCAGCTTTACTGTAGCCGGAGGATGTGGCAGCCCGCTTGAAGGCATAACCCCTGCGCATTTCAGATTCGATCCTGCGCTGCCGTTTCTCTTCGCGAGTGAGAGCCATTGCTGGAGATCCGGAACAGGAGCCATTCTCCTCATCTGATGGTAACCTGCGCTTGGGGACCTGCTCCTTCGAAAGTCCACTAGACGACGGCCACTTAGGCCCCGACTTGGCCTTCTTGGGACCATAAAGCAACGCATTGCGTTGCTCCTCCTCTCGCCTCGCCTGCTCTTCCTCCAAGCGCCTCATTTCTGTTTCTCTCTTGAGCTGCAACTCTCGTTGCTTCTTCTCGTCCTCAAATCTCTTCTGTCGGAGCTTCGCTGCTTCTTCTCGCTCCTTTCTATCGATTTCCTCCCGCTTTTTCCGTTGGAGCTCCTCGTTGCGCTGGCGCTGTAGTAGTGCGATTTGGACGGCGCTTTGAGATTCCTTAGTTTGCGAGGCGCTAAGCGCCATCAGAGCAGCGAACGACATGATGACAGTCAGACCCCGTCCTGAGGATAACACAAGCTAGCGGAAACCAGGATGAAAGGAAGACGTGCGCTCGGCAAATGATGGGGGCCCGAACGGCTGTACCGTTGGCTTAAGTATGTGCCACTATGTGGCGCGTGGCAGTGTACTTTGGTGGACAGGATGTCACGCTCTCCATAGGGATACGTGACATGTTGTGACAGATCATCACGTTTGCCGAAGGGTGTGGAAGGACCCATGAGAACCCCCATGGAACCCAGGCTGGCGTCCGGACAAAAATTGACCCAAATGACCGTTTCACCCAGGTTACAGTCCGGACACAAAACGTCTAATTTGGGTGTCAACCCAGGTGAACGTCCGGACATCTGCGAGGGGGGTGGTGGTATGCCAGGTCGAAGTCCGGACAAATATGGTAGAGTAGTGTAGCGGAACGACATAGTCGATAATGTTGAACGCGAGAGTTCGAATCTTGCTTTTTACAGCTTCCATTGGACGCTTGAAGTTCGAATGAGCAAGTCGACTACTATATGTGATGCCCACAAAAGTGCAACTGGCGCAAACCAACATCTTTTTCGCTGGTGTCTCGTACCTTGGCGTCCAAATCTACCAGCAACATTTTCATCGTCATTTTCGTTCCATTCCTGATGCAACCGCCATGTTCCAATGCAACCACTTTGCCTTCCTTCCTTCTACTGCCTTTCTCTGTCTACTTTCATCTAAGCCCAACCTAACGCACTCGGGACTCGAACTTGCACCTGCAGACCTCACAGACTTCGATATCCTATCAACTGCTTTGCCTCAGTTGGCGGAAGCGGCCAAATTGTTCCGCAAGAGGACTTCGAGGAACGGGGCCACACAGAGGGATGAAGAAGGCGATTTTTGATTGTTTTTTGCTTCTCGTGGCTATTCTAAACACACCTAGCTACTTAGAATAAGAAAAAACGCATTTTTTGAGATTTTTGGTAACCTGGGTCAGAGTCCGGACAAAATTCAGCCCTCAGGTGAACCCAGGACGGCATCCGGACAAAAATCCCCAAAACGTGTCCGGACAAGTTTGGGCCTCAGCCGACCTGGGTTCTAAAGGGGTTCTCATGGGTCCTGGTGTGGACCGCCGAATTGACAATAACCGGTGGATAGACGAAAATGCCATTAAGATAACAAAAGCGTGGACTTTGTCTCAAAACTGATAGGTCAAAACTACTGAAACATGAAACTCGATGACAATGTCCTGTCTAATTCATGTAAATGATCCCCCTGTCAGACCTCTAGCAGCGGACCTCAGGGAAACCATACGCGGGGCGTATGATTCGTTAATGGTGATTCTTCCACAACCGTCGAGGAAGTAAGAGCGACATGCAAATACCTATACAGACAAGGGCAATCAGATAATAGTAGACTATCCATGCGTGGTGGGTGGTTTTAATAGAAAACGAGAACGTGGACGTGGCGGATGCAGGGCCGATCGTTCGCGCGATCGAACACCCAACTGAGCGATCCCATTCGTTGCACCAAGAAGATGCCTGGTTCGGCGAGGCTGCGGCGATATAAATAAATACGCAGGCTGAAGAGATCATAGTCAACGCAAGGAATCCTGATATGATGCGGAAACTGACAATACGCCAAATTTAATATCATTGAGAGAGCAAGTTGCAGGCCAACGATCGCCCATACCATGAGGCTTAACCCCTGCACTCTGGCCATAGCATTGATGATGGGAAGAGTGATAATCATCGGAATTGCAGCAGCCATTGACACAGAATAGATCATCTTTGAGCCGAAACGATCATGGAGGTCGGCGAAGAAAAAGATCTGGAACAAGCCGTTGATCACACCATAGATAGCTAGAATATTGCCGATGCGTGGGGGATCTAATCCCAGCCCACCAAGCTCTAGTGGTGTGGCGAAGAACACAGGTTGGACGGCACGAAATGCGATGTCAAGGAATGACAAAGCAGCATAATTTCCAGCAGCTATGATCACTCTGGGTATCAAGAGCGAACGAAGCGGTAGCGGCTTGGAGCCATCAGCCTTTGCACGCTGAGGGGTATCTTCTGTACTGAGGAAATCAGTTGATCCTGTGGGAGTCACAGGGCCCTTGACAGGGGTGGAATGTTCGCGACTTTGCCCCTTTAGCAAGCGCCAGGGAGTCACCCTAGTAGATACGTCTGTCAATCACGTCATCAACCTCTGCCACTTGTCAAGCATGCATGCT